CCTCTCCCATTATCTGACCTGGGTCTTTCTCTGACTGGCCCCTCCGTGTGCCTTCTCGCTAGACAAGTACCACTGCCCGGTGCTCTTCACCGTGTTCACCAACAACACCCACATCGTAGCCATCAGGACCACCGGGAATGTCTATGCCTACGAGGTGAGTTCTCAGGAACTGGGTGGCATCAGGCTCTTCAGGGGCGTGCTCTGGGGAACCCTGGGCTAGGCGGTGGGCACAGCTTGTCCCCATGGAGCTGACATTCTGAGAGCCACCGGCACAGTCCAGAATAGGCGGGGCCTCGCTGTGGCCTCTGGTCCTGAAACCCAGGTAGTTCTTTTGTACCCAGGGGTCCTCCTCAGTCACCCTCAGCAGAGACTCTTACCGGCTAGGCTGTGGGAGGGAATCTGTGCTCTGAGGGAGAGCTCCAGCTCTTCCAGGGGAGGGCCAAGCCCCCAACTCCTGGCAGAGTCCCCAGGAGGAGTGGATGCGGGCTGGGGGGGTGGGTGTGGGGAAGAAGAGGCCCCAGTTTCCACAGTAGCCCCCTTGTTCTGCGCGTGCCGGTGGAGGGTACAGACAGCAGGGTGTGGGCCCCACATTTTGGGGAAGCCCTCCCTGAGCTGTTTTCATGCCTGTCCCTGGCTGTTGGTAGGGTCTGGGTGGCCAGTGCTGCCCTAGTGACTCGGAGTGATGCCTTGCCTGAAGCGTGCATGAATTAGAGGGGCTTAGTAAAAATGGGCGGCCTCGTTGAGCCTGTTTGCTGATGTACAAGACGTGTGTCACTTGAGTGTCCTGTGAGGAGCCTTGCTCAGAGGGCTGAATTGGAGTCTTTGGGGCTCAGCAAGCCCCACCCTCAGTGGCAGGGCCGTTGTTATGAGCCTGTGGCGGGTACATGGTTGTCCCATCCTTTTCCTCACTGCTGGAATGGTGCCGTCATCTCGGTGGGCTGCGGGCTCCCGGGGCCAGGTTGGGGACAGGCACTGTAACAGCTGGCTTCCTTCTGGCTGTAGGCAGTGGAGCAGCTAAATATCAAGGCCAAGAACTTTCGAGATCTGCTGACCGACGAGCCCTTCTCCAGGCAGGACATCATCACCCTCCAGGTAGGTGTCCCTTCCCACTGTTGTTCTCAGGAGGGACCACCCCGAGAGCCTTGGCATGGCTCCCCTCTGCCAGCCCCACCTGTCCATCCAGGCTCGGTGGCCTCCTTGCCACCTGCCTGGCTGCAGTTCCCCAACTGCTATTGGCAGTGCCCCCATCTCCCGCCCTCCCTGTGTTCAGTTACCTGGGCCTTTACACACGCCACTTCCTCAGTCTGGCTGTCACATCACCCCCTTTGATGCCTGTCCCCGCTTGTGTTAGGGCCCCTCATTCCTGTCCCCAGAGACATCTTGGCTTCCGAGTGGCCCCTTTGCAGTCCTGACTCTCTTCCCACCCTGAAGAGTAAGGCCTGGTGTGTGATTTGTACCCCATTGTTGAGTATAGAGCACCCCTGTAGGTGTCAGAGAACCCTGAGTGACTTAATGAAAAACATGGACTTAGAAAATCTGGGGGTGACTTAGATGGGGATGTTCCCTTCTGTGGCTTGTCGCATTCTAATTGGAGGTCAGCATATGCTCCCTCCAAAGGGGTGGGCTTATTGTAGTCAGGGCCCAAGCACTATGGGGCCTGTGTCTGGCAGCCAGGCTGAAGGGAGTGCAGGGCAGCATGTGGGAGGCCTGGAGGTGGGCGCCCTATGTCTGCTCACGTCCCCTCCAGCAGACTCTATCCATACTGTGGCTGCCTCATAGCAAGGCACACATGTCAGCTGTGTGCTAGAGAGGAGCGGATGCAGTTTGGTGAACAGCTAGCCATTCATGCCACTGTCCCCACCCCACTTCTGCTTGTGGCTCTGCCTGGGGCAGAGTCCTCTCCCATCCCCTGGTGCCTTGTTCCCTGCTCAACCCACAAGGCCTCCAAGCAGCCACAGGACAGATGGAGTCTCCTCTCCTCGCCCCAGGACCCTCATGCTACCTGTCCATTCTTTGCTGCCTGAAGCAGCCACGTGGCCACAGCCCAGGACCCAGCTATAGTGCTGGGCTCACTCTGCTGCACGTGTTCTTTTTGCTGCAGGACCCCACCAATTTGGACAAATTCAATGTCTCCAACTTCTTTCATGTTAAGAATAACCTGAAAATGACAGACCCAGGTACGTACAGCCTGAGCTGGTCCGGGTGCCAGGGGTTGGGGGAAATGGGTCAGTGCTCCCTGGGCAAAGCTCCCACCTTGCTGGGGCCAGAGCCTCGCTTAAGCCTAGGTAGGCCTGGAATTTCCTGAGCTGATGTTCACCTTCTCTTGTGCTGAGGTTGGCAGGACCACCCTGGCCCATCCCCACCCACAGGGGGCCTGATACGGTGGGTGCCAGCTGGGCCTTTACACCTAGGTGCCTACAGCCTCATGTAGGGAAGGCCTGGCCACTGCCTCTTCCCCACTCAAGACTCAGCTCCAGGGGCCCTCAGGTGCCTGGATGGGGCCCTGTCCTCAATCCTTAGAAATCGTCTCTGTTCTCATTGCAGGGACATATGGTTAGGCTGGTAGGCTGGTCCTGTGAGGGGTTGTGAGTGTGGCTACTGCTTAGCTAGCTGGTCACCATCACCAGGATCCTGTGGTGCGGGCTATTCCTAGATACTATTGGGGAATAGAGACCAAAGCCGACTCCAGTGGGAGCCATGGCGGGTAGACGGCTGCCCTTCTGGGCTGCGCCCTCGCTTTCTCCCTCCACACGTGCCTCCCTGGGTTTGTAGCAACTCCATCACTTTGATGGCCTGTGTTCTGGCCTCAGGGCTTCTGCTGTTTGCAGCTGGCTCTGGCCTCTTGTCCCCGTGACGTACATCTGGGGACATTCCTGGGGGTTCAGCTGCTCAAGGCCACCATGCTGTTTTGTAGATGAAGAAAAGGCCAAACAGGACCCATCGTATTATTTGAAAAATACAAATGCCGAGACCCGAGAGACGCTGCAGGAGCTCTACAAGGAGTTCAAAGGGGACGAGGTCCTGGCAGCTACCATGAAAGCCCCAGAGAAGAAGAAGGTGGACAAGCTGAATGCTGTGAGTAGGCAGAGGGCCACACAGCTGCCAGCTCAGCCACCTTGCCTATCAGAGCCCCTCCTTGTGGTTCTGGGATACATTTGGAGGGGAGGTGGCTGGGAGCCCCAGAACTGAGGTGCCCCTGGGGGCCCAGAGGACAGCTGTACTGAGGAGGCTGGGAGTGACAGATAGGTGTGCTGGGGGCCACTCAGGGAAGGTGGCCCCAGCCATGAAGGGTCTGCATGGTGCTCTGGCCCAAGCTGGGCAGCCCGGAACGGACATGCTGGGTGGACAGCTGCCTGGTGGCTCTGGTGGTTCTACATGACATAGTGGCCTCAGGCATTTGGGTCTGTGGGCGGCAGGGGGGCTGTCCCTTGGGGTGCAGTCACTGATGTACAGAGCTGGTTACTTGGTGCCCAGAGTAAACCCAGGAAGAAAGATGGTAGGGATGATTTAGGGGTGCCATGGTACGTAGGGGGAGAACAAGTGGTGCCAGGGGCTGCGTGGTACCCTCCGCACCTGGGCAGGCACGTTAATTTCTCATAATACCCAGTAGTTGGCCCTGAGGCCTCAGTTGGCAGTGATGGCACCAGGATTTGTGCCCTTCACCTCTTCAGGCAGGAACTGGCAAACTAGGCCTTTTGGGACAGGGAGGTAGGGATCTGAGGAAAATTTGCAAAAATAAGAAAAGAAAGTGCGTTTCATAATCTCTCTGCTCTAAAACAATAGCTCTTAGCATTTTGGTGTACTTCCTTCTCATGGGGAGAAATCCCTCCTTTTATTTTTTTACCTCTGCCTAGGATAAAAAAATATTTATTGGGGCTTATATGTTCCTGATTAAAAATATAATGTGTTCATTGTAGAAACTTAAAACCTTTAATGAGAAACTAGAGTCCCTTGTTCCTTGGGCCCTTAGGGAGAGGCAAATGTGGGCTGAGCGGTCCTGTCCCCAGGAGGTTCCTGCTGGTGTCTGTGGGTGGTGGCCAGGGACGCCTTCCTGGAGGAGAGGTGCCAAGCAGGCCCTGAGCCCTGGGGGCACGTAGCTTCCATGTCCCCAGGCCTCTCAGGGTGCCACTGGCGTGCTGACGTGGTTTTTTTGGCAGGCCCACTACTCCACCGGGAAGGTGAGCGCCTCCTTCACCTCCACCGCCATGGTTCCAGAGACCACGCACGAAGCAGGTAGCTGCCTTTGCTCTTCCATCACCAGCGGAGTTGCTTAATAGTGGCCGAGGTGGGGCGCCCTGCCCCCTGCCTCCTCAGTCAGCATCATTCTGTCGGGTTGGCTTCGTGGGCTCTTAGGCAGCTCCAGAGGGGTCAGGAGGGACAGTCCTTCTGAAACTGCTTGTGCCAGGGATGGAGGAGGCTGTAGTGTGGGCTATCCTGGGGGCAGGAGGCCCTCCCCCTGCCCTGTCCTGCCTGCTGGGACCCCTTACCCCCTGGCACACACACCCACACACACACACACCTTGGCCTCTGCCCAGGCTGTCCACGGCACCCTGGCCCTCCACCAAGGCTGCCCTTGGCATGGTCCCCAAGCCCTCTTCCTCTTGTGTTTTTGGCCCGTCAAGCTACCACCATCCCCTGAGCCACCAACTCTCGCCTCCCCACTCCCCTCCTCCGTCCTCTCCCACGCTGGGTCCAGGCTTTTCCAGCATCTCCCCCTTAACTGCTGAGCCCCTCGGTGCCCCCTCCTCCTCCTGTGCTTGGCCAGGGCAGACCCTTGGGCTCTCCCCAGAGCTGGGGCTATGTTCCTGGCCTTCGTGTCTGGCATGGGGTATGGCTGCCCCCAGGCTGAGGGCAGGCACAGAGCTGGGCCTCTGCTTGCAGCCGCCATTGATGAGGACGTGCTGCGCTACCAGTTTGTGAAGAAGAAGGGCTACGTGCGGCTGCATACCAGCAGGGGCGACCTCAATCTGGAGCTGCACTGCGACATGGTGGGTGTGGCAGCCATCCCTTCCCCCTGCCCAGGGTGGCTCTGGGGTCTTATACCTGAAGCTGCACTTAAGATGTGCTTGTAGTAGAAAATTCTGTCTTCTAGAAAATTCTGTCTTATAACTGAAGCTGCACTTAGGATGTGCTTGTAGTAGAAAATTCTGTCTTCTAGAAGGTGAGGTACCCCACTTCCCTCCCCAGAAGGGACCTTGTCAGCTGTGTGCTGCGTTGCCTCAGCCTGGGTCTGGGCGGCCGAGCACACACCCAGCACACAAAGGGTCGGGCTCCCCCCACCACTCTGCTCGAGGCTCCCTGTAGCTCTGGGGCTCAGCGGCTGCAAGTGTCCTCACTGTGTCCGGGCCAGGCAGCCGACCCTCTCCCACCGCGCTGTCCGGGCCCAGGTGCCCTTCATCACCCTCCCATTGGCTGCTCTGTGCCTCACAGGAGCACCTTGGTTATTTTGCAGACCCCAAAAACCTGCGAAAACTTCATCAAGCTATGCAAGAAGCAGTATTACGATGGCACCATCTTCCACAGGTCCATCAGGAACTTTGTGGTGAGTGACGTGGGTCAGCACTGGCTGCACAGGACTAGGTGAATCCTGTAAGTGACTCCTTCTCAGGGGCAGGGAACCTGCGGGCTCATCCCTTTAGTCCACAGCCTGGCCACACTTGGCTTATGTAGAGAAGTGGCCTTGGAGGGCCTCTGTCCTCACCAACAGCTCAGACCCCCTTGAGCCCATCTGGCAGGTGGGGAATTGCTTCCGTCAATGAGCAGTGTGGTGAGCAACCGTGGGAGGGTCGTGGGGTCTTGGGGTATGGGTTGCTCACTGGCTTTTGTTCTTACAGATCCAGGGGGGTGATCCCACTGGCACAGGCACAGGTAGGTACTGGTGCTGGGGCTCCCTGGGCAGCTGTGGCTGCCCTCTAAGCTGTGAGGGGGAAGGCGGGAGCGTTCTGAAAGTTCCAGATGTGAAATCTGATAGACCAGCCACCAATGTGCTTTTTGACCTCAGGCATGTCCCTGTTTTATCATTTTGAGATGGTTGTAAGGCCTGTAGGGGAGCATGTTGCCTCCACACGCCTCTGGGGCACCCACCTTTGTCAGCGGACCAAGGGAGGCTGCAGGGAGCCCACAGGGAGGTTTTGCCCCACCCCAGACAGCTAGCTGCCCTCCCACTGCTCTCACAGCCCCCCTCAGCCTATCATCTGCTTGGGCCCAGGCCTGCTCCCTCATCCTGTGTGATGTGAGCAATAACGACTTGTGGCTTTCACCTTTTACTCCCTATCCTCAGGGCCAGGCCCCACGCAGGTGCTCCGAAGGGTTTGGGGGGCTGGTGATGAGGGTCCCTCAGGGCCAGGGCTGCCCCCCAAGGTGCCTCTGCCCCAGACACCATCCCAGCAGTGCCCAGTGCCCCTTGAGACTCAGCACAGATTTCCAGAGCTGGGCTGTGTCCTGCTGGCTGCCCTGGGCTAGGACCCAGTCATTCTTGCTTCCATTTATGCTTCTTTCTCTTCCAGGTGGGGAGTCATACTGGGGAAAACCCTTCAAAGATGAGTTCCGGCCCAACCTCTCGCACACGGGCCGAGGCATCCTCAGCATGGCCAACTCGGGGCCCAACACCAACAAGTCTCAGTTGTGAGTTGCTGGGCAGCTGTGGGATGGATCTGGGAAGGAGGCCTGGGGCTCCCTGCACGTTCCCTGTCAGCCTTGCCCTGAAGGTCATGCTTGACCTGAATCCAATCCAGAAGGTGTGCAGCACGCCCCTGGGGAGGTGCCAGACTCACAGGACATGGCCCAGACCTGCCCAGGTGCAGGCGTGTGCACCTGTGTACAGAACAAATCAGCAGGTAGCATTGCACCTTGGGGCATGTGCCTGCGAAGGAATAGATGTCGGGAGTTCCCAGGAGACCCAGAAAGGTCTCCTGGAAAAGGTGCTACAGGAAGCAGATTTGGGTGTGGGCATGGGTGCCTGGGCCAGGGAGTGGCAGGGAGGGGTAGCTGTGCAGGAGGGACCAGAATTGAGGCCTGGCTTGAGCAGCCGTTGGATGTGGTGTATTTATAGAAATGGGAGGACTTGGTGAGGGAATTGTGCCTTGAACATTTCAGTGTCACACCCAACTTGGTCCTAGTGGGCGCTAAGAAGGTGCGGATGGGCTAGAAGTACAGGCCTGGGTGTCCCCACGTCCAGATGTAAAGGCAGGGGGTGAGGGGCCCACCGGGAGCAAGTGTGGGGGGAGGAGTGGCTGGACCCAGCCTGGCAGAGGTGGAGGGGTGTCTGCGAGGCCGTGGTAGGAGACTGCTTTGTGAAGGAGCCACAGGCCATGGACCAAGGCTGGGCAGGAGATTGGTTTGGGTGATGTTGAGGCTGATGATGGAGGCCAGTGAGGGCAGTTTGCCCTGGCGGCTTTCTTGGATGTTTGATAGGATTTACCTACAGAACCATCTGGCTTGGAGGAATTTGGGGAGGGGGTTCCATTTAAATGGGGGTCTGTCTCTTTCTTAATTGACCCTAGTCATCTTCTCCAGGAGCTTTATGATTTCATCTAAGTTTCATTATTTACAGTTTTTAAAAATCCTTAATTCCTACCTGTACTTTTATGGACCGTTTAATTTTTGTCCACTTTTTATTAGGTGGTGTATATTTTTCTGGCTAAGAGCTTTTTAGATAAGTCATCTGTATTCCAAATATTTTTTCCAGATATTTTTATTTGTTTGGAATGATACAATATTTTTAAATATTATATATTCCAGTATCTCTCTTGTTTTCAGTTGTACTTAAGGGGGTCTCCCCACTTCGATTGTATGTGGGGTCTCTTGCAATTTTTGGAAGGCTTAAGTTTTTTGGAGGTGGGAAGATTTTATTTCTGTATTACATATTTACACATTTTTGTATATGAATGTGAACAAAGCAGTTTTATTTTCTTGCAGTTGTTCTAGCATCACTTATAGAGTCATCCCTCCTTTTCCCAGGTGAATTGCAGCGTCGCTGTTGACTATGCAGAGATTGCCCATCTGAGCTCTCTTACCTGTCTCTTGACTGGTTGGCCCCAGGCCTCACGGGCACAGGTGGAGCAGGGATGGACTCTGGACCTCTCCCGTGGGGAGCCCCCACAGGGTGGAACACTGCCCTTTTATATCCCATGGTCCCCTAGCTTAGAGATGACTAGATCCAGGTGATTGTCCCATAATTCCTGTACGTCCTTAACCAGGGCTTCCTCCGAGAGCGCCCTACAGAGAGATGCCCCTCCTCAGATGTCCACAAGAGGTTCCTGGCTCCTCATCAGTCATATATCACATTTGCGTATAAATTGGGATCTCATTCTGGACTCTATTCAGTTCACTGCCTGTTTGCTGTTCTTGCACCAATATTATACCTGTTTGATTTTATTGGCTGTCTCTGTAGGAAGTCCTGTAGGTAGGTTCACCCTCACTGTTTTCGCATTATTTTTTGGCTTTACTTGGTTGTTTATTCTCTAATATGAACTTTAGGATCATTTTATCTAGAGCTTTGAAAATTCTGTTGGGAGTCTAACTGGAATGATGTGACATCTATGTTTTGGAAGAGTAGACATGTATATGACATCTTCCATCAAAGAATTTGGCTTGACTTTCCCTATGGATATTTTATATTTTCTAGTGTGATTTTATATTTTTCTTCACATGGGTCTCAGATAAACCTACTCCTTAAGTATTTTATAATTTGTGATATTTTTGTAAATGGAATTTTTTTCCAATTCTATTGCACACATAGAGAAAATCTGTTGATTTCATATCTAGCTACTTTATCAAATTCTCCTATTGGATTGTCGGCAAAGTCATGACACATTTTTGCAATGAAAAACATAGAAAAAATACATCATGACTTTTCCGACAACCCAATAGAATTCAAATAGTTTTTATTGAGTGTCTTGAGTTTTCTAGATATTCACGTTTATTAACACAAGGTGGTGTCCTCTCTGCTTTTCCGGTGTGAACATCAGTCACCTCACTGTCAGGCCTGACATGCTGGTCAGCCATGGGATCACATTTGTTGTGGGGCCTACTTTTTTAGGAGAGGTTGTGGAATTTCCAGATGCTTTTCTCTTAGCATCTGTTACTATGGTCATATGATTTTCTTTTCCTCCTGGATTTGTGGATGTAATCACCGGGTCAACCAGCCTGTCTGTCATTGTTTTGTCCTAGAGTCAACCCGGGCTGTTTCTTGCTGTGCAGTGCTTTTCCACTGGCTACGGTTTTTTACTGTGTGCCACTATCTTCATACAGGAGACTGGTCTGCTCTGGTCTGATCGGTCTGAGTGTTAGCAGGGTGCAGCCCGTGTACGATGAGCCTGCTGGGACTTTATGGCCTGGGGTAGTTTAACTTACACTGGAGACAGCTGCCTGTTAAGTTAGCGGTCAAGGACGGCTTACAGATCATTCATGCTCATTCTTTCGTCAGGTTCCATTTCATGGGCCAACTGGGTAGTTTGTAGTTTGCTAGAATTTAATTCCTCCATCTCTCGATTTCCAAACTTGTGTCCCTGGTGTCTCCCCTGTGCTCACGTCTCCTTTCTCATTCCTGAACACATCTGTATTCCTTTTCTCCGTAATGGTTTATGAAAGGCTTGTCTGTTTTTACTTCTGTGTAATTATTTTCAGTTTCCATCTTTAACTACTTCTTCCTGGTTTCTCTTCTCTTTCTCTCCTTTCTTACTTTCATGTCTTACTCTCTACCATGGAGGACATTTGAGTCTACATGGGGAGGGCATGTGTTTCCCTTTTCTTTGCTTGCTGATCCTTGGTTATTTCAATTTCTTCCTAGTTCAAAGAACTAATTGTAGACATTATTTATTTTCTGTCATATCATTGTTTTCGTTTTCAGTATTTTTCTATTTCCTGACTTTTTCTTCAGGATTATTTCATTCTCTTTTAAGCTTCCCTAACTATGTTAGAAATTAGCAGCAGAGAGACCTGCTTGGTGGCCAGAGCTCAGGTCTGACAGTTGCAGGTTTTGATGGCCATGGAGACTTGTCCCCTGGCCTGCCTGGTTGGACCTGGTGGGCTTGGAAGGAGAGCTGTCCCTGGCTGGACGTGGTGATGCCATGTCGATAAAGCTTGGGGGTAGAGACCTCTGTCCCTCACTGGCTGTGTGTGTCTGTGGCTTGTCAGGAAGTAGGTGACAGTGCGCTGTGTTGCAGCAGGGCCTGTCCGCCTGGAAACCATGCATGGTTTCATGCATGGTATCCACCCTGGAACAATTCTTGCCTTCCTTTCTTGTCTGGTATTGTTTTTTAGCCTTTCAGATTCTTGAAGTTTTAGGGCTGTTTTTTTAATGGCATACACCTAGATTTGGTTTATTTTAATTCAACCTAACAGCCTTTTTTTTTTTTTTTATGAAGATTTTATTGGGGAATTGGGGAAGGGGAACAGTGTTGGAGAATTGGGGAAGAGGAACAGCCAAGTTGTTGTCCTTTAATCTTAGTTGTGGAGGGAGCAGCAAGCTCAGCTCCAAGTCCAGTTGCGCTGCTCAGCTCAAGGTGCTGAGTTCAATTAGTTGCCGGCGGGCATAGCCACTATCCCATGTGGGAGTTAAACCCAGCAGCCTTGTTATTAAGAGCGCATGCTCTAACCACTGAGCCATCTGGGTGGCAGCCCAACTCAAGGTGACGAGTTGAGTCTTAGTTGCAGGTGGGTGTAGCCCACCAGTCAAACTGGCAGCCTTGTTGTTAGGAGCACGTGCTCTCACCAGCTGAGCCATCCTGCCATCTGTTGGCAGCTCAGCGGCAGCTCAGCTCAGGGTACAGCGTCACTGGCCCTTGTGGGAATCAAACCATAAACCCTGTTGCTCAGAGCTTGTGCTCTTGGGCAAGCTCTTAACCAACTGAGCCACTCGGCTAGCACCAACCTGACAATCTTAAGTGCTATACTTAACTTTCTAGTCAGTATACTGCTATTATCTTAATTTGTACTTTCTGATTACCCTTCTTAAATATTTCATTTCCTCCTTTCCTCTTTCTCTTGATTTGGAAGTTAAATGTTTTTACTCATGGCCTTAGGCCAAGTACATCTATTTAAAGTCTGAAGTTACTAGTTAATCTCTCTCCCTCCCTCCCACACAAGACCCTTCATCACCCCCAACCATCCACACATTAGTGTAGTCAGGGATTTTAATTCCATTCATTTTTATACCAAATCAGAAGTGAAAGTGTTCTAGGTCAGCGTTTCTGTCCGTGTACCCGTGTCTCAGTGTCTTTACTCCCTTTCCTGCTTCTTCTGGTTCAGAGTCCTTGGTCCTTTAGTCGGTCTCTTGATGGAATGGGCTCTGGTCTTCCACTTGCGGCCTCTCCAGAGAAGCTGCTGCCTCCAGGCTCTGGGCAGTGTGTGCCTGACAGGAAGTTGGCAGTGGTTGGGCCTGGAGGCAGAGCTTCCCCTGCCCCTTTCTGGCGGCTATGCCCTAGGCCTTCTCCTGGGAAGCGGGGGGCTTCGGGCCCCTGGGTGGCCTTTATTGACAGCCTGCCCTAGCAGGAAGTGGGGGCCGAGCACACAAGTGAGCAGCTTCCCTGTGGGATTGGGCGTGTGTGTGTGTGTGTGTGTGTGTGTGTGTGTGTCCCCGTCTGTGTCCTGGCTTGTGCCCCGTGGCCTTGAGGGCCAAGGCAGCCCGGGCAAGGCAGTTCTCACACTCTTCCTGACTCTCCTGTCCTCTTCCCCAGCTTTATCACCTTTCGCTCCTGCGCGTACCTTGACAAGAAGCACACCATCTTTGGGCGGTAAGAGACGCTGCTGCGTGAGGTCTGGGGTGTTGGGAGTGCAGGCTCCTTCCCCAGATGGGGCCGCTCCCAGGCCTGGACCTACCCTCCTTTGTCCTTGTGACTGTCCTGTTAAGGCCGTGGCCGTGCAGAAGTGGGGGCTTGGGCCTTCTCTGGTGGGCGGGGGACATTGGCTAAGGAGAGGCCAGCTCAGCCCCGCCTGGTAGCAGCCCACCCCAGAGTCCACCCCTCGGGCTGTCCTTTGGATGGTCCCGAGTCACCCATCTGGGCCGCCTCTTATATTTCTCTCCATCCTCTTGTCCAGGGATCAGCAGATTTTTCCTGTGAAGGCCCAGGTGGTATTTCCAGCTCTGTGGCCTTGTGGTCCCCATCGCACTCCTCAGCTCTGTGGCTGTAGCATAAAAGCAGCTACAGCGTGGAAACAATGGGTGTGCTGTGCCCCTGTAAAACTTTTGACAGCCAGGCAGCCAGCCAGCTCGACCTGCCTCTTGGGCCCTCCTCTCCAGGCCCAAAGTCCTGTCCCGGCCCTGTGGGTCTTTCTGAATCTAGTCTGTCTGCGCCCTTTGCCTGTGTGGGGCCTTCGGGGGGCCCGCAGCCTGGGCCCGCTCTCAGCCCCTCTTCCTGGCATGCCATGAGGACTTGGCCTTTGGGGTGCCCAGGGCTGGGCACATTCAGAGGTGCCCGTCTCTCTGCCGCAGGGTTGTTGGAGGCTTTGACACACTGACAGCCATGGAGAATGTGGAGAGTGACCCCAAAACTGATCGCCCTAAGGTATGCACCCCAGAACGTAGTGTCTGCTCCTCCGGCTTGGTGCTGGGCAGGCATGGGGGTGTGGGGCCCTGTTCACTCGCCTCCCCTCTGCTGTAGGAGGAGATCCGCATTGACTCCACCACGGTGTTTGTGGACCCCTATGAGGAGGCCGATGCTCAGGTGAGGAGGGTCGGCCACCACATGGGGAGGGGTTCCGGGGAGTCCCACCTGGCCTGCGGGGCTCTGGGACAGACGCTGCCCTGCTTCACCTCAGATTGCTGAGGAGCGGAAGAAGACGCAGCTCGAGGAGGCGGCCCCAGAGAGCACAGTGAAGAAAAGCCAGCCCAAGCCAGGGAGCCAGGGCCCCCCGACATACCGCCAAGGGGTGGGCAAGTACATCAGCCCAGCAGCCACGTGAGTAGGGTGGAGGCTGGCGTCCATTTCCATGGCTCACCCCACATGCTTACCGATGCCCACAGGTCAGAGCCTGCTGGTGGTGGGGAAGGAGGCACCAGGCACTGGCTCAAGTAGTGAGCGGGTGCTGGGGACCTCAGTCCAGGCCCTGGGACTCGGGGTCGGGGGTGACATGTGGGGACGTGACTCCTAGCTCGGGGCCTGGTACCCCCCACGGCAGCTGAAGTCTGGTTCTTTTCTTCCCAGGAAACGGGTAGCAGAAGAAGAACCATCAACCAGTACAGCTGTCCCCGTGGCCAAGAAAAAGCCCAGCCGAGGTTTTGGGGATTTCAGCTCATGGTAGCAGCGGGCCTGCTGCTCTGGACCCTGGTAGGGACTCAGGGCTGGGTCTTATGTCCCCTGAGTTTTCTGCCCTCATAAGCCTGCCCTTTGGGCTGCGACTCTTAATAAAGTTCTTGCCTGTACCTGGGTCCCCTTTCCTGACCCCAGGAGCCCATGGTCCTCCCTCATCCTACACCCAGTGCAGAGTGGCCTGGCCCTGTTTCCAGGCGTGGGCCCAGCCTGAGCCCACGCCTTACACTACCAGGCACTGGGTCTGGCCCTTAGACCAGCCAGGGGTGTGGGCCTGGGTGCCGGAGGAAGGGCTGTGTCTCCTGATCCCGGCTTTCTTACCACCACTCACTGCCATCGTCTTCTCAGGGACTGTTTACTCACTGTGGTCCCTCACCAGTGGTGTCACTTAGAACCTTGTTAAAAACACAGATTCTCAGACCCCATACTTTCTGACCTAGAGGCTGGGGGCAGGGCTCCAAGGTCTGTATTTTGACAACGTTGGGTTTAAGGACCCTGAACTAGAACCTTGATGTTTATTTCCAAAAACCTTTTCTGTCGCCTTGTGCTTGGGTTTGCTGAGTCCAGCCCACCCAGCAAGGACCATGGGCGGTCACAGCCATGTCCACTGCACACCTGTCTGCCTCAGGATGGTGACGAGACCATGCGTGGGTGAAGCGAGCTGGCTCCTGCTGTTCCTGATGGACGTGCAGAAGGCCCCGGGGAGCTGGCATGCCCCCCTCGCCCCTACCTCCCCTCCACCCTCAGGGCCCGTCCTTATGCTCCAAAACTGACCCTCAGCCCCAGCTCTTAGAGCTTCCGGGCCAGCTGCACCAGCATTTCCTAACTTAAAAAGATGCCTTCCCTGATCTTATTTTTCTATAAATGTCTTCAAAAAACTTATTCTCGCCTGCCCGTCCTTGTTTTCCATTCATTCTGCAGCCTGTGCCAGCCTAGCTTCCGTTCTGCTGACCTTGACACCGCTACCTCAGCTTTCCTGAAGTGCCTCTGCAGAAGCGTGGGGACAGCTACTTCCTCCTGGGACCCCCATCTCCTCCAGCCCTGGGGCTCTGAAAGGGTCACAGTCCACCATTCACATCCTCTCTCAATGCCTATGGTCCTCGGGTTGACACAGGCCCCCGCCCCCCCCCCCCCCCCCCCCCAGTTCTAACTCGGCTCGATTCTTCTTTTCCTCCTCACTCCAAACCTCAGTTCCATCAGTAAGCCTCGACAGCTTATCATTCCAGAACGTCCATGGCTCTTTTCCTCTCTGATGCTGAGCTTCAGGCCCAAGCCCTTTGTCTTTCACCTGCCTCTGTCCGTGTCCCTCATGCATGTCCACACAGATGCCATGTCACGTTCCCAAAGCTCGCCAGCCGTTGTCATCTTGCTTCAGGCCGGTCACTGGCTTTTCACTGCTGAGAACAAGGTCTGTGCCCTGCCTACAGCTTGTCTCTCTGCAGTCTCCCTTCCCATAACCGTCAGCCAGGGACCTGAGCTGCACAGAGTGACGGCCTAGCCCCTCTGCACCTTTAGCCAGGCCCTGGCCCCTCACTTCTTCACGACCCCCTCCCAGCTACACACATCTGAGAACTCACTTGTGAAAGGCTTACCTGCTGTTGGCAGCAACTCTCTCCAAAATCCTGCCTCACAGTAAGAGAAGGCTAGGCAGAGTGCAGGGTGAAGGCCCTGGGGATGGGGTATAGTATGCCGAGGGCTTCTGGACTCCTTGGGGGAAGGGGCCTCACCCTTCAGCAGTTCAGAAGCAGGAGATTAGTGCAGCTTAGCCGCAGCCCTCTAACTGCAGGGTAGACTTTTCTTGGGCCACGCTGACAGGCCCCAAACAGGTAGGGAACCTGGTGACCAGTGCTACAGGGGCTGCTTCTGCGATGACGGCCGTGTATGACAGCACAGGACCAAAGCCGCCTATGGAGAGGGACCCCAGACCCCTTTGTTCCTGGTGTGGGACACCAGGGCTTCATCCCTCATGATCAGAGTGCCTAAGACAGGTGTGCTACTGAATAGGAGACATTGGACATGGAAGCTTTATTTGTAAACCTCTTACAGACACAGGACCAAGCGCCAGACACAGGGATGCCGAGGGAAGCTTGTACACTTGAGCTTGGCAGTCCTGCTCCAGGGACAAACCTTTGGGCCGGCCCAGGCTGCAGCCCCACGGAGCCGCCCCACAGCAGGAGGACAGGCTAGCCCAGCGCCTTTGACAAATGAGGGTTTACATTTCTGTAGGTCATTTTGGAGCTTAAATTGTAGTTTTCCAGATATTAAAACCACTTGGATTTTGTAAGTACCTGGTGAGGTCATCAAGTAAATTAAATGACTTGAAAAATTCCCATTTCTGATCCTTCCTAATATCTGACAGATGCCATCAAGAATAAGCTCTAAGGTATAAAAATACTATATATATGTGTATATATAAAACAGCAACAAAACTAAACCACATTTCTAAAGCAAATGTACTGTGCCAGAGGACTCAATGTAGTTTAAGTTAAATGCATTTATAATCCTGGCATCACCTCCCACTCCTCTCAAGGAAAAAATATTTTAAATAATTTAAATAAAAGTCAGGGATGATATTTACTGTTTAGGAATTTAAGAAGGTGGAACATTCCAGCACTTTACCAGCACATCATGGTCTTGTGGACATCCTTCCCTGAAGCCAGCTCACAGTTCATTTGGTTTCAAAAGGAGCTTGGATTTTGCAAAAGACCAACAAAAAAGTGGTAAGAGTGTTGGCATCAATTACAAAAAATACAAGTAAGTCATAGGACCACTAGGAAAGGGTTTCAATGCCATCACAAAAGACGATACAAAAACCAAAGTGCTCAAATCGAAGGAGCAGTATACTTGCCCAGAACATATAAAAGCTTTAAATATGTTTAGTATATACAAAGATTGGTCAGAAGAATTTTAGAAGATTCTTCAGTTTAAGTGAAGCTCTTACGGAGAAGCGCTCAGGAGCAGCTGCCCTCGGCCCCTGCAGTTGTCACACGGCCCCATTTCCCTGGTCCTCGCCTCCAGATACAGTACTGAGGTTTGCAGAGGAACCAAGACGAGAAGGGAAATGTCAGTTCAGGCCGTTTTCAATGCTTGGTACTCCTCAAGGAAGGTGTCTTTCAGTCCCTTCCACGTTTTCACTAAGGATGAGCTGCAGATGTTTACTGTTTCAAATGCCAGTGCGCGAGTGAAGCATCCTCAGATTTTGGTCCATGGCAGCGAGAGCACCGTGAATAACTGCCACAAGAGTGACCCTGCCCCGGAGGCTCGAAGGCTGCATAGCCGAACACTAACTTGGATACATGGGGATGTGCCAGGACGGCCTAGATCTGTGGGGACACCAGCTCAGGGAAGCAGCAGCCAGGTGGAGCACCTGCCAAGTGCAGAGGCTTCCACAGCTGTACAAAGGTCTTCCCTTCATAGTCGAAGGCATATGTCAGGGGCTCCTCCATGCGCTCACTAGCCCTGACGTCCGCGTGCTCAGGGCTGCAATGTTTCCCACATTCCAAGGCTTCGACTCACGCAGAGATGGGGCCGAAAGGGACTAGGTGAGTAGCTGAACTAGAACCGGGCAGGAGAGACCAGTGCCTGCACAGGCAAGGGGCTCTAGGCTCAGGGGAGGCTGGAGTCAGGGAAGGGGCCTCCCTTCTCTCACTGTCCCCTGCCAGATACACTTGTTGCCACTGGACTAACCTTGTCTAAAAGGCAGTTTCAGAGCCATCCCACAGGCTGAGAAGCATCTGGGCACACTGCTCTCCTCTCGGCCTGCCTCCCCCAGGCCCTTTTCCTGTCCCTTGGTGCTGGGGTCCTGTGAGTCTCATGCCATGGTGACCACACCGAAGGTCTTTCCAAATGCCTGGCCCACCAGCTGGCATCGAGTTAGAACAGTGAAAACCAAAACTTATTTGGGAATGTTTTTTGGCCTCCATTCTCTGCAAATTGGCCAAAATCCCTGCATAGTGCCCACTCCCTGCAGAAACACGGGTGGATCAGAACTTAAAATACATGGCAGAAACGCAGGACTTAGGGGACTGTCCAGGCCCGTTTGTGTCAGCCCTGGGGACAGAACCAGGCAGGGCATGGGGACCCATCAAGCAAACCAAACATCTCACTTGTGAAACTTAAACCTGCCTTGCAACTTTAACCTTTTTTGAAAATATTAAAACAATCTAGCAAATCTCAAGTTTGGAAGTTCATCCTATTAGTTTTGGCCTCTTTCAAACGCAAAAATAATTATTTTTCTTCAAGTACATCAGAGTAGAAAAGGAAATCCGATTTACTCAGTCCAGTGTGTTAAACTATTACTCACTCCGTGGACCAGCCACTCAGCGACTGATAGACACATGCACCTGCAGGGCCCTGGGACAGTCTTTGCTAACAACTGGTTCCCTTGCTTTCTACATAAGGAAGGTATTGGCCTAAGTAAACAAGATGTTCCATTAGACACATTCCTCTATCTATAGCTTATCTAAAATATTATCACTGGTGTCCTGTTTTTGACTGAACAAGGCTACAAAAACACCCTTTGTATACAGATTTGTTGACTGCTTCTGGAAGATTCTGAAATGAGCACTATGACAAAAGCTCATTTGCAAGAGGAATAACCAATTTGTAATTTTGCAAATGAGGAAAACAGTGGGCTACAACACCTCCACTCTAAGTGACAAGGGTGGCCCCGCTCTCTAGAGAGACCTTGTCCCTATAGTCTGGAGAGATTGGTCTGGTTTCTATTGAACATGAAAGAGCACAGCCAAACTCTATCTTAAAGGCATAGGTTAAAAAAGGTATTCACTAGATGGATAAGTCATCAGCTGGTTACTTCTTTCTCTAGAACTTGAGATGTTAGGAAAAGGTCATTGAAATGTTTCAGAAAAGATCACATGTGTGAAGAGGACATAGACCGGATGGAACCTTACCCATGGGAATGGTCAGGAGAGGTGGCTTGCGAGGTTCAAGTTCAAGAAGTATTATCATCCAGGATGCTCCTGTTTCCATTCCATTACAGTCTCTTTCACAAAATAGTATTCAGAAGAGAACAGGAAGTCTTCACTTTACTCCCAACCGTTGTCTTTGATCATGTGGGCAAGCTCAATAATAAATTTCCCTTCCTTATATTTCTGACTGCTCTCAAAGGCATGTTCCTTGAAAAAAAAGTAGAAAGAAAAGAAGGTTTCAGGACAGACTCTGTTTCATTTTTCAACTTCATTATACTTTGGTCAGAGAAAATAAGTCTATGGTATTATGTCTCCTCAGATGTCCCCTGCACCAGGCTGATGGCTGGGAGGAGTCTGTCTCGGGAGGCATGGAGAGCAGTGTAGGCCTCCGGTACACTTGTAGTCAAGTTATGGTGAAACTTGTAGGGAAATGAATTCAACTTTTTAAAAAAATATTTTATTGGGGAGTTAGGGGAGGGGAACAGTGTTGGGAAATCGGGGAAGGGGAACAGACAGGTTCCTGTCCTTTTGTTTTTCAGTCTAGTTGTGGAGGATGTCGCTTCACTGGCCCATGTTGGTACTATCATTGTGCTGTCCCTGGGTGAGGCAGTCGCTCGCTGGCCATTGGACGGCCGCTCATGGCGGCTCATTGCAGCTCACGCTGGCTGCCAGCCACTCAAGGTAGCACACAGCAGCCCACTGCAGCAGGGGCTACAACCTACGCAGTTGCCAGCGACTCACGGCAGCCCAGCTCCAGGTTGAGCTGTTGTTCACCATCTTAGCTGTAGAGGGCGCAGCATCACTGGCCCTCATGTGGGATCCGAACTGGGGCCCTGCTGCTCAGAGCTGGCGTCCCAAGCCAACTCTTAACCAATGCGCCACTCGGCTGGCCCTCAAGTTTGTTAATGAGCACCTACCACATGCAGAGAAATTTGGAAGGTAGAAGAGGAGAAAGATGCTTCTTCTGGGGACTCTAAAGGAGAGTGAAGATAACTGCACCAAGAGTCCCGGACACAGTCCAAAGATGCCGGGGAGAAAGAAGGCCCTTTATTGGGGAGTGGGGGGTGGCCAGTGCTGGAATGGAACAGGCGAGCATGTGCAAGGGCTGGGGGAATATGCAGGCCTCACTGAGCCTGTCTCCATGCTGGGGACTCTGTCCCCTCATATCTGATGGGGACATGAGACACCAGCAATGATCGAAAATTCCAGGAGGGACAGCAGGTGGCCCTGACAAAACCAGAATGGCTGCAGAAGACAACTTCCAGGAGGTACCACTCTAGACGGGCCTCTCCAATCCTGAGTCTGGGCTGGGGGCATGCACGAGATGGCTGGAGGCACTGGGTACATGGGACAGAAGCTGGGGATGAGGGACAAGTTTGGGAGTTGTCAACAAACAGGAGGTCAAAACAGGTTGCGATCAGAGGCAGGTCAGCCTGAGAGGTGGGAAGAAGAATAAGCAGAGTGTGAAGGAGGAGGGACTGTCAGGGCTAAGCACCCAGCAGGCAGGGGGAGGCCAGGCCTTGGTGAGGGCGGCTGCACCTGTACCTGCAGGAAGCCTGGAGGAGGGAGGAAGAGCCAGGAGGTAAAGGCTAGAGATGGGGTGAGATGGCCACATCGGGCACAGGTGTGAGGACCAAGAAGGGGCTGAGGATGAGAGCCTGTGGGTGGAGGGGTTCCCTGGCAAGCGAGGCACCAAGTGCTGCAGAGAGTTTGCTGTGATCACTATTGCAAAATAACATCAGCTCCCCTGGGCCCTGGCTGGCCAGTGAGTGTCCCCCAGATGGGCGGGAACCACCTCCCTCTCCATGGGGTCTTCAGAGAGCACCGGGTCTGTGGGGTGGGGCCGTTTGCCCCCCACCAGCGTGGCTGTTCACTCCTGCCCTGCAAATGCAGGGATGCCCAGACATCTTTAATTGGCTCAAAAGAAATGCTATTTTAAAATGTATTCTTTTACTGATAGGATCACACTTCCAGAGGGAATCTTATGCCTTTGCAAATATTGTTTCTGTTTGTAAATGTTTTACTTATTATAGTAAATCTGCATTCTCTGAAGAAAACAAGGTGGTTACTCACATATTTCCACCCGAGCGTAGTTTTGCAGTTTTCACAGTAGATGTCTGCAACAGCGTGTAGGCCAGTGAGAAGGACTCTCTCCTCCGCGGGGCCACAGCCCACATTCACCCTGCAGGGAAGGAGGCAGCAGCTGCTGGGGATCCTCTCCCCTCGCAGGGCATTTCCACCCCCCACCTGGAGGGGGCACCCCAACTCCCACCCTAGCCCCTGCTTTCTTGAACCAATCGGTTACCAGAGATGCAGCAGTGTTTCTTCTTAACTCCCCGCTTCCCCCACCCCCTGTTCACCACCACCTCTTAGGAGAACAACTTTTCATTTCCCCAGGACAGGACAGGCTGTGAGGAGGTGACTACAGCTCTGCAGTAGCAAAACTCAAAACCTACCACAAATGGGAAAGAAACCACAGCACGTGTACAGGAGCTAGTTCCTCAGTTAAGAGTATTATGCTTTCCCCAAACTCTCAGGTTAGAGAGAGAGTTCTTTAAGATCACGTAAGATCTTAAATTTTACTGGGTAATTCTAGACCAGGGGTCGGCAAACTTTGAGACGGAAGAGCCAATCCTGTCCCTCGCAACAATTTAAAAATTATTCGAGAACCATAAAACAAATGAAATCACCATTATGTGAATATCCTTTAAAATTTTTAAAAATGAGGGCCGGCTGAGTGGCTCAGTTGGTAAGAGCGCAAGCTCTGAATAACAGGGCTGCCAGTTCGATTCCCACATGCACCTGTAAGCTGCACCCTTTACAGCTAAGAGTGTGAACAACAGCTCGACCTGGAGCTGGGCTGCCGTGAGTGGCCGGAGACGGCATAGGCTGCAGTGGGGCTGCAGTTGGCTGCCATGAGCTACCGTGAGTGGCTGGCAGCCAGCGTGAGCTGCCGTGAACCGCTGTGAGTGGCCGTCCAAAGGCTGGTGACCGACGGCCTCTGCTGGGAAGAGCACAATGACAATACCAACACGGGCCAGTGAAGTGGCGTCCTCGACAACTAGACTGAAGAACAGAAGAACAACTTGTCTGTTCCCCTCCCCCAATTCCCCAATAAAACCTTTAAAAAAAATTTATAAATGAAACTATTGGATCTTCGGAAAAGTCATGACATATTTTGTCTATGTTTTCCAAAGGTCATTTATTTATATAAAGAACAAAGATCAATCAATGATATAGTGCCCGTTTTGTTCGATAACCTTTTGCCATCTTTCAGTGAGCTTCACAATTTTTCGTTCATAGAAGGACCTATCTTTATTTGTGAAAAACTGAACAAGGTGCTGATTTACAGCCTCATCTGAATTGAACGTTATACCATGCAAGGAGTGTTGAAGAGAGCGAAACAAGTGGAAGTCTGACGCCACAAGGTCAGGTGAGTATGGTGGGTGTGGCTTCACATCCCATCCAAGCTCCAATAATTTTTGATGGGTGATCAAATTTGTGTGTGGTCTCACATTGTCGCGATGGAACACAACTCCTTTACAATTAACAAGCTCTGGACACTTCTGGATGATGGATTCAAACTGTCCAATTGCTGACAGTACACATTCAAATTGTTTGGTTCCTTGGTAGGAGCTCGAAAAACACGACACCTTTAAAATCCCACCACACTGAGAGCAGAACCTTCCTTTGATGAATGTCTGCTTTCGATGTTGTTTGAGGCAAATCATCACGTTGGGACCGTGTTGTGCACCACATTGTTGTAAACAATCCACTTCTCATCACCAGTTATCAGTCACTTCAAAAAAGGATCGTTTTCCTCACGTTTAAAGAGCATATTGCAGATGTTTATACGCGTTGTCAAATGAACTTCTTTGAGTTCATGCGGAACCCAAATATAGAGCTTGCTTACGTATCCCAGCTTCTTCGAGTGGTCGTGAACGCTTGAATGATGGATGTTTAATGTTTCTGCAATCTCTTGTGTAGTGTAATGCGGGTTTGACTTGATCAATACCTTTATTTTGCCATCATCAACCTCGGTGGGCCTCCCTGACTGAGGAGCATCGTTGAGATAAAAATCACCAGCACAGAATTTCGTGAACCAAGTTGGCACTGACATTCTTGTAGAGCACTGTCACCATAAACTTTATGCAACTTTTCACAAGCTTGACGCGTGTTCTTCCCTTTATGGAAGTAGAGCAATGAAATGTGGCAAAAATGCAGTTTGGTCTTCCATCTTCAACTTGTTGTAAAATCTCCAAAACTCAACCAAATTGCTCAATTTTTTTTAGAATGAAGCTAGAACTGTCAGCTGTCTAATGACATAGCAATAACAGATGCAAATGACTCGTCCTTTCAAAAATGAACTAGTGCCATCTGTTGCAAACATGCATCATGACTTGTCCGTAAACCCAATAGGATAGTTTTATTTTCATTTTTAATTTTACTTCAGAGCCACATGTACATGCCCAAAGAGCCGCAGTTTGCTGACCCCTGTTCTAGACCACTGATGAACACTATGAGTTCCAGCTTTGAGTAATGAAACGGATGTACAGAAGCAATAAATGTGATGCTAGCAAACACTGCATGTCTGCAAGGCTAATGCAGCGATACTCACACAGAATTGAAGAGGTAGGCACGTCCCTGACTTCCCTGAAAGGACTGCAAAGAAGAAAAAAGTTTTAAAAGACTTGTTGTGATAAGACAAAAAGTGATGGTGAGTTTAGTATTTCGGAATGAAAGTGGAGAAGCTGGGTTTCAGGTCATGGACCTCGACGTGAGCTGAAGGGTTGCCTTGCAGGGCATGAAGTGGCTGCACTCAGGGCCCTGAGCAGCACAAGCGTCTTCCCGAAAGGCGGGCCTGGGGAGTCCCAGGGTGCCTAGAGCCCCAGAGGGCCTGCCCAGGTGTTCTCATTCGATCTGCCAGGACAAGATACACCACGTCTGTCAGATATTAGGGGCAAGAAGACATTTCCAGGCTTTTCCATGGAAATAAAAAAGGTCACTGTCCAAGATGGCTCCTTACTTGGAGGAAAGGACCTTCTAGTAACAGATCAAACCAGGAAAGTGTTACAAGAAATAGCTTGTAGCATATTCACATATTCTAAGATTATTAATGAGGCAGAATAGGGTATTTGTACCTCCCTGATATAACTGGGTCACAGCTCCCACAACCCTCACAGGAACAAGAGGAAACACCAGCTTCGGGGCGGGGGGGGAGTTTCGTCTGCTCCACTTTGAGGCTCTAGACCAAATGGAACAGATAGATCACAAAAATAATCAATGAAATACAAACCAAATCGAGAACATGTCTTTGGTTTCTGTGCCTATCACCTCAACACAAATTCAAGAGTGTGAGGAATGTTGATTGGCACACAAGTTGACAATATCAAAGTGTGAAGGGCACATACTGAGTGGCCCAGCAATCCCACTTCTAAGAATTGACTGTGAAGAACAAATCAGCTTGAGTACATGAGGAAATGTGACAAGAATGGTCACCATTAGTGTTTGAAATCCCACCCCCCAAATGGGAGAAAGATGCCCATTGACAAGCGAGCAAAAAAGTGTTCACATCCAGGACTCATGTAGACATTAAAAGGGGGATGGGAACTGATTGGTGTGAGCGGGAATGGAAAGACAGTCATAGAATACCGTTAAGAAAAGCTAGCTATAAAATGACACATTGTGTGAGCCCTTTAAAGTGAAAAATGTGGGGTTGCCTGAGTGGCTCAGTTGGTTAAGAGCTTGCTCAAGAGTGCGAGCTCTGAGCAACAGGGTCGCTGGTTCGATTCCCACATGGGCCAGTGACACTGCGCCCGAGTTGAGCTGCCGTTGAGCTGCTGCTGAGCTGCCAACCAGGGCAGGATGGCTCAGTTAGTGAGAGCACGTGCTCCAACAACATGGTTGCCTGTTCGAGATGGTGGGCTATGCCCATCCCCAACTAAAGACTGAACTTGGCACCTTGAGTTGGGCTGCCGCCCGGGTGGCTCAAGAGATAGAGCATGCGCTCTTAACAAGGCTACTGGTTCAACTCCCGCATGGGGTGGTGGCTATGCCCACCTGCAACTAATTGAACATGGCACCTTGAGCTGAGCAGCACGACTAGGCTTGGAGCTGAGCTTGCTGTGCTCTCCACAACTAAGACTGAAGGACAACAACTTGGCTGTTCCCCTTCCCCAA